AATGCTATATTGACCAATTATTTAATGCTATATTGATTCCTTATTTAATGCTATATTGATCCCTTATTTGATGCTATATTGACCCCTTATTTGATGCTATATTGATTCCTTATTTGATGCTATATTGACCCCTTATTTAATGCTATATTGATCCCTTATTTGATGCTATATTGACCTCTTATTTGATGCTATATTGATTCCTTATTTGATGCTATATTGACCCCTTATTTGATGCTATATTGATTCATTATTTGATGCTATATTGACCCCTTATTTAATGCTATATTGACCACTTCTTTGATGCTATAGTGACCCCTTATTTAATGCTATATTGATCCCTTATTTGATGCTATATTGACCTCTTATTTGATGCTATATTGACCCCTTATTTGATGCTATATTGATTCCTTATTTGATGATATATTGACCCCTTATTTGATGCTATATTGATTCCTTATTTGATGATATATTGACCCCTTAATTAATGCTATATTGACCCCTTATTTGATGCTATATTGATTCCTTATTTCATGCTATATTGATCTCTTATTTGATGATATATTGACCCCTTATTTGATGCTATATTGACCGCTTATTTGATGCTATATCGATTCCTTATTTGATGCTATATTGACCCCTTCGAATTAGTTTCGTTATTTTTATTGTTTTTATCGTGTATCATCGAACCCTTTTACTTTTGGTCACTTGCCAGTCTTGTAACCCTGAAGGAATGATGAACGGAACCCTTTATTTCATTCGAGATAGAATGTTTAGCGGGTCCCCTTTTCGTTTTAAATGAGCAGCCATTGTTAATTTCAACATGCACTGATTAAATTGATAAAGGTTTGTTTGGTTTGTTTTACGGCATATCAACCTCAATGAGTAATTTAATGCCAACAAAATTTTTATTGCTCTTAATATGTTTTTCTTCAAAAATCTATTTCTGGGAATATTTTTCCTTGAAGGAATCTATAGTTGGTAATATTTTTTTCAAAGAATATATAGCTGTTTGTTTTGCTGGTACTTTATTTTTTTTAAGTATTGTTGATAATAATTTTTCCTTCAAAAATTATTGCTGTTAATATTTTTTCTATTACAAAGTATTTCTGATATTAAAACCTATTTTTACACAAGTTTGGTTGTCAGCTATTTGCCCATAGTTGGGACCCTAACAGCTGCTACCACCCCGGGTGAGGGTGGACCCGGGAACGCCAGCAATTAAGAGATGGTTCTACGCTCCTCACAACCTCCTGATCAGAGGCCTTGCTGTTGGACTTAGTTTATCGTCTTACCCAGGACGGAAATTGATAAAGGGATAATACCTACCCCCATGAAACGAGGGGAAAATAAAAAGAAACACAGAAGAGTAAGAGAATTGAAAGAATCAACATACATGATATGCTAAAAACATCCGATGTGTAGACCATCAAGTAGGTCTTATATTGATACGAAGTTTATCGTTTTTACATTATGAAATTGCAGATTTTACCATTATTATACTGATCGATAATATAAGAGAGTTTGAATTACTCTATGATTGATATTTCTATAAGATCAATTTATTTCTTATTTGGAGAACTAGTGCATTGGCTAAAAATGATTCATTTTATCATAAGGTTCTGCAGACTGATGTATTCAGAACGTCCTGATGAAATAATTTTATATATCTATGCTAAATTGAGTTAGATGCCCGCCTAGATAAAATTCTTGTGATTAGCTGATGGTTTACACATGCACAATCATAAAAAATTACCTTCGACTCCAAAACTTTAGAGTCTTTTCTGTCAGGAGATGGTTAACAATTTATTTCCACAAATCATTGTTAGTCAGTCTGATCGTCAATATCTGTGAAAAGTATTTCAAATTAGATAGGTAACGTTCTTCTTCTTCTTCTTCTTCTTCTTCTTCTTCTTCTTCTTCTTCTTCTTCTATGTTCTGTGTTCCTTCAAGAAGCAGAATTTTATGGTCCTCCGCAACTTCTTATCCTTCTAGCTCTTAGTGACGTTTGTCTTATCAACCTCGTACCGTCATCCACTTCCACAAGCTCGTTAGGTAAATGGCCTACTCCTCTGGATCCCTTTTGACTTCATCACGCCCTGTGAATGTTAAATTCTCCAAGCCCGCCTTCCTTATTAATATTAATATTCTAATTGTCTATTTCTGATTCTAATTATGCGCGTACATTTTATTCACATTTTCATTAAGTCTTCTTTCGTCCTTATAACATCCGTCCATTAAATTCTCAGCATGTTTCTGTAGAACCATATTCTTTTGTCTCCAATCTTCTCTTCATCTATGAGGAAATCGTCCAGCATGTTATAATTCTTGTTTAAGCTCGTAGTCTTGGTTAATAAAATTCCAAGGAAAACATTGGGACAAAAGATTAGTGAAGAAAAGGTTTAATCGCATAGATTAATAATGTAATAACAGCAAACACTGTAGTTAGTGCGGTGATGCATACGACCCACTTTGCGACTCCCTTTTCTATGAGCTGAAGTTCCTCGCATAGTGAATAGAAGAATATATCTGTCTATATTTCTGAGATGAGGTATTATGTACACTATTTACATTATTCTGTCTATTGTCCTCATCTTTGTCGCCATATTTATTACAACGTTTTGGCCGTTGTACGCTCCGGCCTTCTTCAGGTAGTTGGAATGTCGAACTGAACTCTTTATTTCGCTCACTGGGGTAGACTGTTCTAGTTCCCCATGCCATGTTTAATGGATGTCAGTTCTTAGTTATCTCCTGTTAATTTCCCTCTGAAAGTTCTCCACTGCCTTAACCGGGTATTGAACTCACACTCTTTGGGTCCTGTCACTGGATCTAACCATGGCACAGTTGATAAAGGCGTTAATTTCGCCAGAACAGGTATATTTTTTAATAGCACTCGTCCTTGACGGGTCTGGTCTACGCCCATTTGTATCAATTATGTGCCCGAATGTTTTTTAATTTTATATTGCTCCTGAAAATTGTCATTTCTCCTCACTGAGTTTGAACCCATAATTTTCTATTCTTTAGAATACTTCTTGTATGTGTTCCGAATGTTGCTGTCTAGTTTCAATTTTGTAAGTATGTCGTCCAAATATGCAAAGGCAAAATCGAGGTTAGCATCGTATCCATCACTTTCTGGAAAATGCTAGGTGTCAATTTTTAAGTATGCGTCTGATAGATCAATGTTTGGAAAAAAATCTTCACCATTTAATTTGGTAAAATTTTCTTCTTGGGATTCTAATGCTTATATGTGAGTTAGTAGACACTCATTTAATCCTGTAAGAAAAATCTGCAAATATCAGAATATTATTATTTTTCGTTTTTACATGAACTGTTGGAACTGTCCAATCAGAATAATCTGTGGGCGAAATAACTCCTAGAGTTTCTCATCTGTCAAGTTCTTTCTTAATGTGTTCTACAACTGCAAAAGGCACACTACGTTTGGGCTTAAAATTAGAAGCTACATTTTCCTTGAAGCGAAAAATTTCCTTCTCCTTAGTACATTTTCCAAGACCTTCGAAGAAAACAGTCGAGAAATTCTTTTCTAACTCCTTTAAATAAATTTCGGTCGCCATACTTGTTTTAGAGGAGGAGCAGTTTGCTTTTTTACAGAACGAATTTACGGGTAGACACCCCAAATATGACAGTTCCATCAAGTTCACGTCCAATAACTTCATCGTATTATTTTGAAATAATTGAGGTGGAATAAATACATTGAATCAATAGCTTCATCTACCGCAAGGAAAGTTGGTTCTCTGTGTCGTGTCAGAAGGTTTTTCTCCTCCGAGTCCATCCTTCAAATCTATAAATCAACCATCCGTCCTTGCATGGAATATTGGTGTCATATATGGTCGGGTGCTCCCTCTGTACGTCTCGAGTTCCTTAACAGAATCCAGAGACGAATATGCAAGATGATAGGTCCTGATCTGGCATCTAGTCTACGGTTTCTATCCTACAGTCGTGCTGTGGCCTCTCTCTGTCTCTTCTACAAATATTTTCGCAGCAACTGTTCCGACGAACAACTTTCGCTGGTTCCCGGACTACATAAATTTAAACGTGCTACCAGGCTGGCATCTCGGTTCCACATTTTCACTGTCAAGACGGTTAAATGTAATCGTCTCTTCGTCTCAATCAACTTCTTCTCCTCTTACTTGCTTCCCCGATTACTATAGTCTTCAAATATTCAAGTGTAATGTCAATCGACATTAGACTCCCTGAGCTTGTTCCCCGTCCTTCTCTGTAACTGTTATACCGGAACATACCTATTCTATTGTAAATAGACTCTCCCAGATATAATAAGTAGTAGTAGTAGCAGTCGCCAGTTGGGCTCAGTGGAGTTGAGTGACATTGAAGTATCAACCACCACAATTAGCTTGCTGCGTCATTAACTATTATTTTCAAGTTCCCAACGTTTTGTACGTCTAACCTAATTTAGGACCGACTTAGTGAAATACAAGCCTCCACTGTGAAAACTACACTACAACAGTAACCTTTCCTCAAACACGCCTCTTTACTCTTGTTCTTAATCCTCTGTAATCTCTTGCGTCCTAGTGGCACTCTCGCCTTGCTTGGAATTGCCTAAACAAACAAACAAACAAAAAAACAAAAAAATAAACAACAAAAAACAAAAAAAAGAAACAAAAAATAAACCAAATGTGTTAGATTTTAAAGTTTTACCGGCACATGAGACATTACAAGCAATTTCGCCACGAAAACCTCATTTTTTTTCCCGAGCCGCCACCTGCAACTTTTTTTGGTTTTCGGTAATGTGGGTTCCCTCCAAGTTGTTTCTATTAATTATATTAAATGTCGCTGCCTGTGTTCAATTGAAGTTTTGTGTCAGCATTATTCATCTTAATCCTCACAAATTCTCTGTTCTGAGCCGCATTCGAATTTTGAGTTGCCAATACATCTTTCACTGTATTAAAATATCTTACATTTTTTGTTTACTTTGATTTGCAATGACTTTATCTAGGACACAGTCTTCCACATTGGAAACCCTTAAAATGAAGTCCTCCACAACAGTAACACGAGTTCGGTGCAGTCATTTATCTTCCTCTTCTTCTTTACCCTTTGGTCGAATTGTTTATACTTATACAATATTTCTTACTTCAATTTTTGCATTATCATGTTATCAAATATCCTTGTCTAATGGTTTAATAATTGTAGTGGCCGTTTTTGTTATTGTTCTAATAACTGTTTCTGCTGTTGTTTTTGTTCCGATAACTTTTTGGCCACGATTTTTAAGTCCTCCATATTCCGCGTTTTTCAAATACTTGATTGATATGAGTTCAAAAATCTTTACAAAGTCAAAATTTTTTTTTTTCAAATGCGAGTTTCGAGCCCTCGTCGCCACTGTCAAAATGCTCGTAAAAGGTCGTAGCTTGGGTTATTAATATTCCAAACAAAATACTGAAACAAAAGATTAGTGAAGAAATTGATCACATGTATTAATAGTATAATAATAGCGAATACTGTAGTTTGTGTGGCAATGCGTGCGACACACTGCGATATATTTTGCGACACGTGGTCCTATGAGCTGACGTTCCTCTCATAGTGAATGGAAGAGTCTATGTGCAATGATTCAATGTAGCGAAGGTCGGTCACAGCATTCACTGCAATATCGGAGGAATTGTATTGTATAGCAGTTCAGTTCACTTTTCTTTGTTTCTAAGGAAGTTTTCCAGTCTCTTAATACCTTGTTTAGCTTTTGGAAAGCATTTTTTGCTATTCCAATGCACCTTCAAATTTTGGTGTCACATTTTCAAGCTTCTGTTACCCCCCGCCCGATATTTAAATTTCTCTTTGATTTGGAATTTCCACTTCGTAGTTCGTATCTTGGTCTTTTTCTCTTGCTGACAATCAGGCATTGTGTCTTCTTAGAATTGATGGATAGTCCTTTCTTCTCGCTTTCTTTTCAATGTTATAAAAGAGAGACATCCAGTAAAACACAAATTTATACGTATTTGTCAATCGCTTGCGAGATGACTTTCAGAACCACTTCTTTCCAACAAGCAAGCCAGCTTCTCTTGCTGAAGGAAGTAATAATATATAGAACGCTGCATGATAAAAAAAGGCGATCTCTTTTGCAAAATGCAGATTTTAAAGGCTTTGATGCCAAGAGATATAAATATTAAAAGCTTTAGTCAATGAAATGAAGAAAGAATAGAAAGAAGTAAGCTTTTATTTTTCAACTTTCATTTTGTTGGTAAAGAAATCATTTGCTGCCTTTTTTTGTTAAATGCATCAAATCGAAGATAAGTTTCAGGTTGAAGAATGTTCAGATAACAAAATAAAATTGACTCGTTGCACCGAGCAAAGAGACAAAAAGATGAGGAGTTTTAGGCAAATAGAAGTTTTACAAAGGAGTAACATTTTCGGAAATCAGAAAAGTGTCCCCTTCTAATGACAAATATAAAGCATCTATTGGCGAAAAAGGGGTTCTTTCTTTCTTTCTTTGTCACTATTTATTAGTTTCTTCATTTCTTTCTTTCTTTCTTTTCCTTTAATAGATGCTTTCTTTCTTTTTTCTTTCACTATTTCTTTCTTTCTTTCTTTCTTTCTTTCTTTCTTTCTTTCTACTTACTCACTCATCATTTTTTGTTTTTTGCTATTTTCTTTCTTTCTTTCTTTCTTTCTTTCTTTCTTTCTTTCTTTCTTTCTTTCTTTCTTTTATATTGTACCGAATATTCCTTTTCTTTCTTTTCTTTTTGCACTATCTTTTTTTTTTGTCTTTTTCTAGATTTCTTTCTTTCATTTGCTCCTTATATCGATCTTTCTTTTTCTTTCTTTCTTTCTTCTTTCTTTCTTTTTAATTTTTTGTTTTTTTCTTTTCTTTCTACTCAAACATTTTTTATTTCTTCTTTTCTTTTATATTCACTCACTCTTCGCTTGTTACTTTCTTTATACACTCTCATTCATTCTCCCACACTTTCTTTCTTTCTTTCTTTCTTTCTTTTCCTTTAATAGATTCTTTCTTTCTTTCTTTCTTTCTTTCTTTTTGTTCTCTTACTTAATCTTTCGTTTCTCTTTTTCTTTCTACTCAAACATTTTTTCTTTCTTTTTTCTTCTATATTCGCTCATACTTCCTTTGTTTCTTTCTTTATACGTTCTCATTCATTCTCCCCCACTTTCTTTCTTTTTCTTTCTTTCTTTCTTTCTTTCTTTCTTTCTACTCACTCACTCACTCACTCATCCTTTTTTGTTTTTTGTTAGTTTCTTTCTTTTCGCCCACTCTTTCTTTCTTTCTTTTAATAGATTCTCTCTTTCTTTCTTTCTTTCTTTCTTTCTTTCTTTCTTTCTTTCTTTCTTTTTGTTCTATTCCTTAAGCTTTCGTTTCTCTTTTTCTTTTTACTCAAACATTTTTTCTTTCTTTTTTTCTTCTATATTCGCTCATCCTTCCTTTGTTTCTTTCTTTATACGCTCTCATTCATTCTCCCCCACTTTCTTTCTTTGTTTCTTTCTTTCTTTGTTTCTTTCTTTCTTTCTTTCTTTCTAGATACCAAGACCCAAGCCATAAATACACATGTAAGGACGTAATGATGTTTTCGGCCAAAGCAAGAAGGGATTTTATAAATTTGAAGTTTGTTTATTTATGAGATTATGGAAAACGGTTGGAGCGAAAGGTTTCCATCTTTTAGTCAAGCAGTAATGAACATTTGTTATTGATCAAAATCTTCCCCTTTCTTCCATGTTATATCCTTTCTTCTATGCCTGTGTGTTTCTTTCTCAGGCAAATTTCGAAAATTGAAATTAAGACGTTACTGTTCCGTAAGCAAACAAATATTTACCTTTCCAACGTTAATCCAAGTCTGTTGTTTACCAGGCTGGCTGAAAGAGTATCAAGGGCAGGTACAAGAATGACGTCTATTATTTTCCAAGCACAATGACAGTGTCACAGTCAGCAGTATATCCACAAGGACTGGCTGACAGGGTTTGCTTTTATTCGCCTCTTGACAAGGGCAACTTGTTAAATAAAGGGATGGATTGGCACACAGAAGCATAGCCATTTTGTAAATATTACATTGCTATGGCAACGTCGTTTTGATCTATAAATTTATTTTACTATCGATTCCTTTATATCTGGCTTTTAAATCTATCTATCTATCTATCTATCTATCTCAGCATGTTCTTATGTATCTACCTATCTATTTAGAGCAGGGATTCTCAGTCAGGGGAACACCTTCCTCCTCCAGGGGAGAATTTTACAGTTTCCAAGAGAAGGGAAATATTTCTTGTTTTATTTACTGAATTTGGAATCCATGATTGTAACCTTCATCAGAATAAAATCGATTTAAAACCCTTTTATTGATCTTTTTCTTAATTGATTTACTCTATCTTGGCATTCTATTGAACTTTTTTTGTTTATTGGAGAATCGTTCAGTTTATTTATTTATTTCATAATCAGTTATGAATTAAAACAAATTACTCTACTTGTATTCAAGTTTAAAAATCCATCAACATTTTTTATTGCTATTAAATTTGTAAAACTCCCTTATAAAAATAATCCATTTTATATGTAGTAATATGGAAAAGAATGATTATTTTCAATGATATATACATATTATTTGGAATTCACCTTTTGAGTTGGACGATCTTGGAAAGTGGGGTGAGGGAGACATTCCGATTTATGGTCAAAATGATGTGCAATGGGCAAAAAAATTGAGAAGCACTGACTTAATATGTCTACATGACTAGAGACAAAACTGGCTCAATATCTGGGGTAATTTTTTTCCTTAGGAGTTAATCTATCTATAAGCTGTATATGACACTATTAATAATGACTTTGTACTTTGATTTCAGGTAAAAATATATGTATAGTGTCAAGTTCTTGTTTTTTGTTTGTTTGTTTTTAATATATATATATTCTTGATGATGTATCATTTATAGATGACCGTTTAAATTGGATTTCCTGTTAAATATGTGTTACTTAGAGGTCTTTTTTTTTTAAATTTTGAGTTAGCCTTATAATAAAATTAAGTACATGCATAGTCTCCAGGCAGGGATTTTAGAGTTTTACTTTTTCTAGTTTTCTATTTACAGAATTTTCTTTATTGAATTACAATAGATTGGCATTCTATTGAACTTTTTTTGTTTATTGGAGAATCGTTCAGTTTATTTATTTATTTGATAATCAGTTATGAATTAAAACAAATTACTCTACTTGTATTCAAGTTTAAAAATCCATCAACATTTTTTATTGCTATTAAATTTGTAAAACTCCCTTATAAAAATAATCCATTTTATATGTAGTAATATGGAAAAGAATGATTATTTTCAATGATATATACATATTATTTGGAATTCACCTTTTGAGTTGGACGATCTTGGAAAGTGGGGTGAGGGTGACATTATGACTTATGGTGAAAATGATGTGCAGGGTGCAAACAATTTTGAGAAGCATTGACAGAGATGTCGGGGAAAGAAAAGAATATTAGAATTATGTTACCTTTGGGCTACCATCAAAACTTACATCTCTGAATTGTGCCTTCATCTATTCAATTCTATATTTCATGAGTTTCGCTTTGTCTGACACAAGGTCAAAATAAACGGGCACCAAATGCGGTTCGAACACATTACGCAAACGAATGGTCAGTGAATGTATTTCCGCTAATCATTACTCTACAGCAAACAACTCATTACAGTGGCGAACGACTGTATTGCGCCAATCTTCCATGTGAGGAGAGAGTCAGTTTGCTTTCGAAAATCCTGTCATAATACTCAAATCAAATTTTAATGTCAAACTGAGACATTATTCATATAAAGTCGGGTCTTATGGAAAAGTAAGGACCCCTTACTATGTGACCGTAACATAGTTAGAAAACATTTTTTAGAGGTTGTATCGATTTACTATGATTTCTGTTGCAAATAAAGCGGGCTCATATATTCGTGAAGTAACCGGCAGAAAGAGATCTTTGTTTGTTGCTAGGCTAATTCAGGACACAAACAAACCTAATCGGGAGTTATATCGCGAATAAAACTTAGTTTAATATCTTAATTCGGCATAATATATATATATATATATATATATATATATATATATATATATATATATATATATAGATAGATAGATAGACCTAGTGAGCCAGACAAACCTACCCAGGTTTCACCTAAGCGGATCGTCAGGGAAAGCTGGCTTTTTTCGAATCGAGTATAGTTACCTATATTTGTATTTATATATATATATATATATATATATATATATATATATATATATATATATATATATATATATATGTGTGTGTGTGTGTGATAGAAATTATTAGGAGGATTTGAGATAATTATAATTAAGTAATTCATCGAGTCTGAAAGAAACCTCAGCACAATGCAGAAAGCACTGGACGGCCATTTCGTCCTATATTTGGGACTCATCAGCAGTGTGCATCCATTACCGAGAATTGAAACCGGGACAGTTACGTTATCAGGCAAACGTCATCTCGAGCCGTCCAGCGCTCTCTGCATTCTGTTGTGGTTCTAGACTCAATGAATGACTTAATTATAATTATCTCAAATCCTCCTAATTTCTATCACTTGCATATTCTTGCTTGAACCGGCTTTAAATGCTCTGGGTGAGCGGCTTGGGGATAGTAGTCGTGGCTCATGGGGGCACAGTCTTATGGGTAAGGAGAAACTCGGATGAGTTCCACCATAGAATATGTGTTCGAGCGGCGCTGTATCGAGTCTAATTCACTACCTCTTCGTCACCGAGGCCCGTTGGTACAGTTGGTATGACGTTTGCTGGATAACTTAACTGTCCGGGTTTCAGTTCTTGGTAGTGGATGCGCACTACTGATGAAGTCCCAAATATAGGACGAAACAGCCGTCCAGTGCTTTCTTCATACTGTCGAGGTTTCTTCTAGACTCGATGAATTACTTAATTATAAATCAATAAATATATATATACTTAATTATAAATCACTCAATATATGTATATATAACTACACGATCTCCGTGGTTTGTCTACATCTTCACGTAAACATTAAAAACCCTTTTCCGAAATCTTGCTTCACATAAAGTCGGACCTTTTGAACTTCATCTTTCTCGCACGCATCTGATACGATAGCATCTACAATGGGCTCGCCTCCAACTCACAAAACCTCCGAAGAGAGACCATTTCTTCTAGGTTCAGCTTGCTGATGATATTCAGTCACTCCCCCCACGAGAGTGTCACGTGGCACAAGGCCTTTTTAACGTGGGCATTCCGAGCCCGTGGGCTCGGCCAAAAATATGCCCATTGAACCCGTATAAACGGGTTCAGGGCAGGTCTACCTCCCCGAAGGAGACTCCACCCTTCGGCGTAGCCTCCTTCGGGTTCCTCCCGTCCGTAGGAAGAGAGTTTAACCGAACAGTCGCTCAGAAAGTACTGGGTCGACTGATTGCACAGGACGGCTGGAGGTTTAGACATCCATCAGCAAGCTGAACCTCTTCCATTGTTGATATGTCATTCAGTGAATGATCAGCGATCTAGTGTCAACTTGGGATTTCCTGTTTAACAAAGTCAGAAAAATGCTGTTTCGATCTGTTGGATATTTTGTCCATCGAATCATGGACTTCATCGCCATCTTTTGATTTCGAAAAGGCGATTCTGACTGTTTTCGGTCCGGGGTCATCAACCAATTGTTCTCTTTCTTCTTCTCTCTGCCAGTCTACATTTCTTCTGCAAGGATATCCTGTATTGAGTGCAGGGTGCCTTGTGTATCAGCTTTTGCACATTTTTGTAGTTCCTAAAAGTAGGAATAGGTCTTTATCATACGGCTACATATTTTGTTTGTAGCAGCTAACATAACAATGATTTTCATCAAACTAATCCAGATTTGTTTTCGGCAACAGTTGCAATTGTGTTTTTATAGAGCACGTCCTTCCTAGTATCACTCAATGATATTTACTACATTGTTTCACTCAGCAAATGCAGTTTTGCAGCATCCATGCTCTTTGGGATTCTGTTTTTTGCGTGTGAACGGTCAACGACCATTCGCATTTTGGTTCCGGGAAGAACATAATCAGACCAGCAATTTGCAATTCGTATAGAACTGACATTGGAAATATCTTGCATGTATCGTTGACACGCAATAATACATTCAAGAAACTGCCATTGTCAAAATTTGGAGTACATCCACATTGTAATCTTTTGTGTTGTAACTGAGTGGAGTACCAAGCTTCGGGAAGAGTAGGACGTCTTGTTTTTACTCCCAACACCATTTCTTCGCAAACAACTTTATGTATACAAGTCTTTGGCAACTCGAACATTGGAGTCCCCAAGTAAAACGATTTTGTCTTCTTTAGGAATGGTTTGCAGAATATCGCCGTATGGCATAGAATCGTTTCTTCTCATCATCGTGACGTAGGCACTGACGGTAGTGACCTGTCTGTTCCACACACACACACACACATATATATATATATATATATATTTCTTTTCATGACATAGTAGGGTTAGAAGTTTCTGTTACTTTTATCTCCAAAAACAAAACACGCCATTATATATGTATGTCTTAAACCCCCATTGAAACGCATGAAATAATCGCAATAATTTCATAAAATTTAAATAATTTAAATATTACCATCTTTTTTATGGCACGGTTTGATATATATATATATATATATATATATATATATATATATATATATATATATATATATATATATATATATATATATATATATAACATATGAATATTGCAGAGTTTACAAATCAATGATCAAGTAAAATATATATATATATATATATATACAATATTGCTATATACAATTATTGAAAATTCTACGAAAAGCTTAATATACTGATACTTATGAGAGTATTTATCTGCCTCTGTCCTCTCTCTTTCTCTCTCTCTCTCTCTCTCTCTCTATATATATATATATATATATATATATATATATAACATATGAATATTGCAGAGTTTACAAATCAATGATTAAGTAATATATATATATATATATATACAATATTTCTATTATACAATTATTTCAAATTCTACAAAAAAATTAATATACTGATACTTATGAGAGTTAGGGGTATCTCTCTCTCTCTCTCTCTCTCTCTCTCTATATATATATATATATATATATATATATATATATATATATATATATATTATATTGCTAATTTTCACGAAATATAAGATGAATTGCCACTCAAGGTAGAGGGTTTGTGAGGTTGTTATATGAACTCTTTGAAAATAATAGAAGGTAAGAAATGCAATTTATTTGGGCATGTAGGAGAGAACCATTAACCCTCAAACTTGAAAAGGTTAAGATTTTAGGGAAGTATCCTCTCAGGAGTCTTTTCTACAAAGTAATTGTCCCTGGGAAGAAACTGTTTGAATGGAACTTTCTTCTTACTAATGGAATACGAAAGGAATGGCAAGATCTGTCGCATTGTATTTTGTGTCTTAGTTGTGAACTGGTCGAACTAATGAATGTATGTCGTCAGAATATATGTCAGGGAAATGGCGATAGAGTAACAAGAGGCTTGAAACGCTTTGCCTTTTCGGAAAATAATCCCTCATACAAAAGGCCGTGAACACGCTTCTGAACTCTATTAAGCCTGTCACGTGAGGACAAGGCAAGCGCCATATTGGATACGGCTGCAGTTTTTTTTTATTTTTGGTCTGATCATGTTCTTGTAAAGACAGAGCTTGTCAGGAGGAGGAGTCAGCTACTTGCAGGGGCGGTACAAAGAATCGATCATTTTCTTTTCTAGTATCTTTAGCATTGGATCGTACATAACTGAGTTCCACTTGAGGCCTGGAGTGAACTTGAGTCCAAATAACCAGCCACCCCGATGAGGTAACATTTAGATTCTGTTCGGTGATGACCGAAAGTTACTTGTTTAGTTTGGGGATATACTGAATGTTACAAGCCAGTTTCCTCCCATTGATCTCTTAGACCTCCGGCAGGAGTGATAAGCTGCCAGACTCTGGTCATCTAATTTTTTTTTGGGGGGGGGTGGAGTGCACCCATTCATTGTTGTATCATCTGCATATATATTTACTAGAGACCTGAGTATGTTATTTGGCATATCATACTTATTATAAAACCCAGGTTGTGTGTGTGTGTGTGTGTGTGTGTGTGTGTGTCTCTGTTCGTTTATATATTGGATCGGATTTCCTACATTTTTCAACCGATTTCAACAAAACTTCACAGAACTACGTAAAATTACCTTGCGGTGGTTCAAACAGCGCCAAAAATTGGAAAAACACAATTGTTTTTGCACGAAATCAATTTGAAAACACGATTAAGAGGCATCGCTGTCGAGAATGAAAGGGGGGCAACTCATATAGAGTTATAGCTATTATAAAACCCAGGTTGTTTGTGTGTGTGTTCGTTTATATATGGGATCGGATTTCCTACATTTTTCTACCGATTTCAACAAAACTTAACTTTTTTTTGGCAGGTAGTGTTTCTTATTGTCTTGCACACTTATTTCTTAATTTTTACATTCAGAATGCTTTAAAAATTCCATTTACAAGACAATAGTTTATAATAAAATTCTATTCAATCGGTAGACTCATAACGATTGAAAACAATGTTTTTGTTTGAGTTTGGGTTTGACCAATTCGTAAAAAACAAAACAAAAAACAAAACAAGACAAAAAAAAATAATTAAGACATGCGTGTCCGTCAACCTTAAACAATAATCTTTGTCAATTTTATTTTTCAGTCTTTATGATGGTCGATACTTGATCTCTCTCTTACTGTTACATCCCCGGGCAACGCCGGGCTCTCCTGCTAGTAAAAAGCAGAAAGGGGGTAGGTGCTTAGAAGAGATCATTGGGCAACTGCATTGATTTCATGAGCTTCAGAAGAATGGCCATTATTAACAACCTTCCTGGATCTACCTGTCAGGAAGGACTCGATAAAAAAACAATCGTGATTCCATAACTGGAGAGTTTTGTATATATATATATATATATATATATATATATATATATATATATATATATATATATATATGTAAACCTAGTGAGCCAAACAAACCTACCTAGGTTTCACCTAAACGTAGCCAATTTTCCCTGACGACCCGTTTAGGTGACACCTAGGTAGGTTTGTCTGGCTCACTAGGTGTATCTAGGTCTGCTCTACGGTTGTATTGAGCTCTTTTGTTAGTTGTTTACTCGTATCGGGGGTTTTTCTTTGGGCTTCAAACCTGCATCTGTGCGATTTTTTCGACAGACTTTAATGTTTGTAGCTCTTTTTTTTTTTTAAAACTTTTTTTCCCTCGAGATTGATTTGATTATTGGCAAATCAAAAATTCGAGGGTTTTTCGAAACGAGTATAGTTATCTATATTTGTATATATATATATATATATATATATATATATATATATATATATAGAGAGAGAGAGAGAGAGAGAGGGGGGAGAGAATTAATGCAGTAAAATAAAAGATTTGTCTCTTAGCTGATTGATGTTACCTTCAGCATTCTGACTTCCGAGTTTCGTAGACAGACTCTCCGGTAATCAATCCGCCAACTAATCAGGGGTCATCAACAATTGACTGCTTATACTTCTATCTATCTCAGTCTGTTCATATGTAATGTATTGTCGTCAGTTCGTATCTATCTATCTATCTATCTATCTATCTATCTATCTATCTATCTATCTATCTATCTATCCCAGTCTGTTCATATATAATGTATTGTCGTCTGTTCGTATCTATCTATCTATCTATCTATCTATCTATCTATCTATCTATCTATCTATCTATCCTAGTCTAATCATATGTACTGTATCGTCGTCAGTTCGTATCTATCTATCTATCTATCTATCTATCTATCTATCTATCTATCTATCTATCTATCCTAGTCTAATCATATGTACTGTATCGTCGTCAGTTCGTATCTATCTATCTATCTATCCTAGTCTAATCATATGTCCTGTATCGTCGTCAGTTCGTATCTATCTATCTATCTATCTATCTATCTATCTATCTATCTATCTATCTATCTATCTATCCCAGTCTAATCATATGTACTGTATCTTCGTCAGTCCGTATCTATCTATCTATCTATCTATCTATCTATCTATCTATCTATCTATCTATCTCATGCTACTTTATGGCGTACCAGACATTAAGTGCAATGACTGATGTCCATTTTGGAAAACGTTCTTTAAACGATCAGCTTGAAAATAATCCTTTCTATTCTTTGCCTCTTCGCGGTCGATTTTAAAACGATCAAAAATATATTAGAAAACGGCTTCTTTGATTCTGTCATTTAGACAAAAGAAAATCATTCAATAATTTCTCTAAAAATGACAGCTATTTGAACAGAATAAGCATACACATGGGAGGAAGAGGGGGAGGCATATCCTCTCTTATGTTTTGACGACGCACATGCACACACGCACACATAAATATATAAATTTGAAAGTCTCTCTCGGAACAAACGTTGGCCGTCTGCCCACCAAAATTTCCTCACTTTTTTTGATAGTATGCATGAAAGAAAAAAAAAACTAATGTAGCATCTTTTGAAATTTCATCTGTAAAAAAATTGTAAGAAGGAAGAATTTAATTGAGTTAACAACAAACGAAAGAGCGAAAAAAAATCAGATGACAAGAAATCATTAGAAAAAAATGAACTGAAAAAAGAAGGGATTTTGTTTTGAACTTTCATTCAACCAGGATTCTTTTTACTTATACACATCGATATAAATTCAAGCTGACATACGAACAAAACACGCGAGTTCACACACATATATAATACACACACACATACACATTTCTCTTTATTTCTCTCTTTTTCACTTACACATGCACAAGCACACAGAATTTTAAAAAAGAGAAAAAATTTTATATAAAATATATATATATATATATATATATATATATATATATATATATATATATATCTTCAGACCGAACTCTCCTCGGTGTTCACGAAATAATCTATAATCGAAATGGATAATTAACGTCCCTGTCTTATAATCATTATAATGCTCTGTAGTCTACATTGAGCTCTTCCTGCATGTATATCCCCCTGGAAACTGGTCAGGCGTGTATATATATATATATATATATATATATATATATATATATATATATATATATCCAGATAAAATGAGGACAAATGGAGTATAATTCCTCTGTATGTAACATTTAATTTAAAAGAGGCCTTAATACAGAGTACAGTTAAATATTATTTATTTTAGGATATTAAAACATGTTAAAAATTGCTACATAATGGCAATTATGTTTCAACATTACAAATGTGTCTCCTCGGGCGATGTTAATCTACTAGCGAGTGAAAGATTAATTTAATTTCAAAAGCAGAATACTTTAAAAAAAAATAGGCTTGAGGACTTTGCCGTGATTAACCAATCGAATGTGACCTACGCTAAATTCTAATCACTAGAAAAAAAATTAATATAGGTCATGACACGTAGTTGTCTGCATATAGATCCTAGACAATTTCCTTATGGGCAGATACAGGTTGTTACATTATTTCGTAAGATATATCGAAGTCTGGCGTTCAACTTTCCTAAGTAAAAGCGAAAGTGTATATTTTAAAGTCATTCACCTGTATTTTAAAGGGGACAAATATTTATCAAATACAAAATTTTTATGTAAGAAGCTGAATGAGTATTAATATTATAGCAAACAACATAGTCAGTTCATATTTATCTATCTATCTCTGTTCATATCTATTTCTGTTCTTATCTATCACAGTCTCTATCTATCTATCTATCTATCTATCTATCTATCTATCTATCTATCTATCTATCACTGTCTCTATGTATGTATGTATGTCTCTATCTATCACAGTCTGTCTGTCTGTCTGTATGTATGTATCTATCTATCTATCTATCTATCTATCACAGTCTGTATGTATGTATGTATGTATGTATGTATGTATGTATCTATCTATCTATCTATCTTTGTTCATATCTATTTCTGTTCTTATCTCTCACAGTCTGTATCTATCTATCTATCTATCTATCTATCTATCTATCTATCTATCTATCTATCTATCTCAGTCTGTTTAATATCTATCTATCTATCTATCTATCTATCTATCTATCTATCTATCTATCTATCACAGTCTGTATGTATGTATGTATGTATGTATCTATCCCAGTCTGTCTGTCTGTCTATCTATCTATTACAGTCTGTATCTATCTATCTATCTATCTATCTATCTATCTATCTATCTATCTATCTATCTATCTATCTGTTTAATATCTATCTATCTATCTATCTATCTATCTATCTATCTATCTATCTATCTATCACAGTCTGTATGTATGTATGTATGTATGTATCTATCCCAGTCTGTCTGTCTGTCTATCTATCTATTACAGTCTGTATCTATCTATCTATCTATCTATCTATCTATCTATCTATCTATCTATCACAGTCTGTATGTATGTATGCATGCATGCATCATCCTATGATCATTATCTATCTATCTATCTAGTCATCCATTGATTCAGTCGCCCCTTGGTATCCAGAGAATGAATGCAAAATGGCAGAATCTTGATTTAATGCACTCAAGTTACTCAAGCCGATAATTTAAAACCGCAATGATAATGATCCCAATTTCATTGCTCGGAAAATAATTTGTATGAAATAATTAATTGAAATTTCTTAGGGAATGGAACCTGTTAAAAGAAATCAGAAGAATCCAAAATGAAAAACCGAAGTCAGTCTGTTAAAAAACATAAAAAAATACTTTATATTTATGAAGACATCATTAGGAAATTTCTGAAACTGCAGGCGATGAAAAATCACTTACTTCAAAACTCTAAAAATGCCATATCTCTTTTTCCTTGCCCGGAATGAATTGCTTTTAAATATTTACGGTTAATAGATTCGATAACAAAATAAAAATTCATTACTACTATGTTGTCATTATATACCTAACTGGAATAAAATTGAGTGATGGCATATGAGAAATTCTCGATTAAACGTCGAATTGCTACGGCGTTCACAAATAAGAATGAAAGCGTCTCCACTTTCTCAGACCTTTAGATCTCTTTAGCTTTAGTTTAATTTTGTCTATTCCATCAACGCGTTTTGAATATGTACAGGGTGCGATGGATAAATTGTCGTCTAAATGCCGCAAAAATGAAAACAACGCTGGCATCTCATCTTAACAAATATATTTACCAACATTGCACAAAAAATATCTTGAAATACGAAAGTGTAAATGTATTCAATATAAACGCCGTTGGCTTCAACCACGGCCTCCAGACGACTTCGGAATCTCTTGTGGACGCTCTCATTTTTAAGTTGGTGAATGCTGCCATAATTCTTGCCTTCACTTCATTTTTGGTGTTACAAGGAGTTTTGTTGGTGTCTCGCTCAACTGCACCCCACACATAATAATCAAGGGGGTTGCAGTTTGATGAGTTAGGTGTATGGGGTGATGTGGTTGCAGAAATTGTCTGACAGCCATGACTGGGTTCTCTTGCTTGTGTGGCATGGTGCAGAGTCCTGTTACCAGACCCGGGGCAGCACTACCTCCTCAAGGCAATTGGTGTAGCCCTTCATGTTGAATCTGAGGCCCTTACCAACACGTTTGAGAATTCTTTTCTTATCAAAATGATCAGAGTGTGTCCTACCTTCGTAATCACCATTAGACTCATCCAACTCTTTCTGAATCCTCTGCACTGTTCTCGGATTGACACTCCAACACTCTGAAATGTTCAGTACAGCGTTCCGTTTACAAATTTCTGGCGGAGTGAATTGCATCATGGTGCTCTTTTTCTAACAGACGCTGCCCAACTGACTGTACTATACTCTGCAGTCGACCAAATAAAAACAAATGCGAAAATTGAAGATATAACATGGCACAAATTTACCCATGGCAACCTATATATATATATATATATATATATATGGATGACAATATATATATATCCAAAGACAGACTGTTTCGCTGTTTCATAGCTCATAAGTGTGGTTAGACATCCTATTGCTTCAAGTCGGGATCGAAACCCGACTGGTTCGGTAACTATCCCCTAAGTCATCGGTTGAAAGAAAGGCAAATTTTTACGTGCTTACTCTGTGAATAAACACGCCAATGACTGACGGTGACCAATTCGGGGAAGAGGAAGAGCATATTAGTCATTGTTTACAAGTTCGCAGTAATCTTCCAAGAGTGCACAACCGAATTTTAAGTTTTTCAGGAGCGTATATATTGTCATCACAGACTGTTTAGCTGTTTCACAGCTCATCAGTGTGACTAGACATTCGATTGCATCAAGCCGGGATCGAAACCCGACTGATTCGGCAATCGGCGCACGGTTGAATGAAAGACGAATTAATATAAAATGATAGGAATTTTGGCAACTGGTAAATAGTCGTTGGGATTTCTGAAATGATGGGTTGTATTGGATATCCGGATTTATATATTTTAATATCATGGCTATTCGTGTATATTTTAATATCATGGCTATCCATAATGATTTTGTTGATATAAGGGAGTTGTCAGGACCGGAGAAGAAGTCTCTTATATCCGACATCAGCATTGTTTGATGTTAGAAATTTGTTGACAGATTTTTTCTTAGAGTCTCCGGTTTTTTTTTTTATTTAACTTTGTAAATTTAAACCCCGATGATCAATGATTATTTGTTTATAAAAATCGAATTTGTCCAAAATTACGTATGTATTAGTTTTGTCACTTCGTCTGATGACAATATTAGAATTGATTTTTAATTCTTTGGCAGCAGTTTTGAGTTTTTGGTTAGAATATTCGGACAATTTCCATATTACGTCATCGAATTTTTTTATTTGTACTTTGGAAAACGGGCAACCCAATGTAATTTTCTAAGCGTAGCTTAGATGTGGCACAAGGCTGTAAGTATGGGACACCCAGTGAAGATCGGACTCACCACTCGATCGTAATTGATCTAGCGAGACAAGCTTGCTAACCAAAATGGGGAGACTTATACTCTTATAATTTGCATTGAAAGGTGCATCTAGATACCAGTACAGTGTAACCCGGATATAAGGGAGTTGTCAGGACCGGAGAAGAAGTCTCTTATATCCGGGTTTCTCTTATATCCGGGTTTGGTCTATATGTATACATTAACACAGGCTCTAATTTGGGACCAGAGAAAATCTCTCTTATATCCGGGTTTCTCTTATATCCGGGTTACACTGTATATGAAGTCATCGAGGTTACGTGCGTTTTAATTGCAGCCTCTTTTTTGCACACTATTTAAATTATTCGGACTATTTTCCTCATCTTTGTCGCCATATTTATTATAATAGTCCGAATAATGTAAATAGTGTACATAATACCTCATCTCAGAATTATAGACAGATCCTTTTTGATTTCGAAAAATTGTCTGCTTAAGCAAATGGCGAAGGGAAGTCATGATATCCACCTTAAGCCAGACGCATGTTTCTAGTCACTTATTTACCTCGGCACATGAGAATGCAAAACAATATTAAGAGCTGACATTACTTTAACAATAATTGTCCGAAAAAAAAAGACTCCATTATTTTGTAGGTTTTCTTCATGTAATGGCTGGCAAGTAAAAGTTTTGGCTGATCGACTAAAAGATCCATTTTTGATGCTTTTTTAGTGATCTTCGTTTCTAAACATTTGCTTTAAAAACAGAAAGCTTTCATTGCAAATCTTGTAGAAACCTTTTTTTTCGAAAGCAAGCAAAAACTCTGATTCAACGCTACAAATCAGATATAAGTATTACGTTTAAAGAAAAACAGATTGCAAACTGCAGCTGTGGATCAGAACTCACATTTCGCATTTCTCCACCCAAAAATAAAGCTTTTTTTTTTCTCATTTTTTCTAAAAGACATTTTAGCTTTTTTTTTTCTACACCGTTCTTGTTAGCAAAGATAATAACATTCACGTCATAGCAAAGAACGATATTGGCATTCTGGGAAGAACCCGTTAAGACAGCTAAACTACTTCCTCCCTGGCGAAGAAACTGCACATTATTTAGGGGGAAAAAATAAGAATTGAAAAAATGTGTACGCTCAGTGTTTTCCTAATGTATAAAAATCTTTATAAATTGTACGAGAATGTTTTTAATCCTTATGTTGTGTCATTATAAACATCTTGGAACCAGCTGATATTGGCATAACAAAACAAAGACACTGCCACCTAGTGTCGTAATTTCAAGGATGGAAAACTTCTAAAAAATTACACAAAATTATGTTCAAACCTGGACCTGGGAACAGCGGCAATTAAGAGGTGGTTCCACACTCCTCAAAACCTCAGAGGCCTTGCTGCCGGATATATATATATATAAATTAAACTGCACTATATATATATATATATATATATATATATATATATATATATATATATATATATATATATATATATATATATATATAAGACAAGGTCCGACAATTTATTTATTAAAGACATTTTTTTTTTTTTTTTATGTTTAACGTTGTTATTTATAGATACAAGTATTTAAGCAAATGCTCTGTTTATGATAAACGTATTAAATAACATTTACCGGCCTGAATGTCGTCAAATTTTATGAAAATATTCGTTCTTTGACAGGATTCGAACCTGTCAAAGAACGGAACCGTCTATAAACGCTCATATATGGCCAGGCGGTAAATGTTGGCACGTTACTGTTTATCATAAACAGAGCATTTGCTTAAATACTTGTATCTATAAATAACAACGTTAAACATAAAAAAAATGTCTTTAATAAATATATATATATATGGTGCAGTTTAATTTATATTATATTACAATGAATCATTCATACAAAAAGTAGATTAGTAAAGTTAATGATATAAAATGGCGAAATCCTTTCGCAAGCAAAATTTTAAAGTTGCATTTACCTAAGAACCACTCGATGAATGTTATGATCATTGTTTATAATAGCTACAAGCTGTATAATGTCATAATCTGGAAGTACTTTCAAATGTACATTCAGTCGATCTCAGGCATGAAAATTATTTTGTTTTTAGTAAAATCCAGGTAGCATCAGAGACGAAAAAATTAAATGCGAATCGAAATATGTTTTTTTTAGAAATGTGTTATTATTAACGGATAAAGACTTTTGGTGCGTGCGGTCGCAACGCTAAGGTTGAATTTTTTTGAAAATTCAAGAGAGTGCGTTTTTTTACTAATATGGTAATTTGAGAATTCTTTTTATTGTAGGACTTTATCAGTCAATGTGGAATGAACTAAATTGTTCAATAAATAGAGTAATATATATATATATATATATATATATATATATATATATGCGTGTGTGTAGGGGGCGGTTATAAAAATCTGAAACAAAAGTGGGAAATCGTATTAACGACTGATAAAATACTGTGGTTAAGTATTTTATTTAATTTTTCACGTGTTACTTTGCTTGTTGAAAAGATTTAAATGAAATCAAAATTGCAATTAATGAAACATTACTTCACTAGTAGTGTTTCATTAATAGCAATTTTGAATAAAATCGTTTAGTACCATCAAAGATAGAC